TGTTCCTTGCAGTCACCCGGACATAGGAGATTTAGGAAATCCAGGTAGCAGGGAGTGACGTATCGCTGCAGCCATGCTGGTAGGATTGTGTTTTAGGGAACAAGGCAAGGGTTCATAGTGTGTTACTCATTGCTGCCTGTAGTGAGGTTTTAGAGTAGGAATGGGGTATTGGAAGAGACTAACTTCTCTTTATTTGGCATAGGGATAAGAACTATGCTTTATTAAAGAATGGTAGTACAGTACAAAAATATGATTGTATAAAATCTTTGAAAAATATGACACTTTAAAATAGCCTTTTCTCCTTTCAAACGTTCCTATCTTTTTAAAAAACATATATCGTAAATGCTTGTAGTCCTTTTCCATCAGCATTAGGAAACCAATCAAGGTTCTCAAGGTACAGCCAAGATAAAGGGCGATCAGTGGTGTAATTTGAATTGTCTTGGCTTTGCCTTAAAATCAAAGATCTTGAGAAGTAGCGGAATCAAAAAAACCAACCAAACAAAAAATCCAACCTCCAGAAAAGTCTGGAAAAAGAAGTGGTTTCTATTCACAGGACATAAGAATTTCCAGCACCTGGAGTTGTTTGATGCTTCCAGGAAAAAAAGTGCCCCAGTCCTGGACCAGCAAAGGTTTCTAGGACAGGAGGAATGGGGGTGGGATGGGACCTATGAAATGCATGGTCCTGCCCGTGTATTTAAAGGTCAGCTAATCCTTTCCTGGGGTCAAGACAAAGCCTTGCAGTCTACAGGAGACCATTCGCTTACTGGTCTGTCCTGGACCTTCTGCAGCCCTGGCTGAAGTGCGGTTCCAGCTCTCTTGGCACAGGGAGGCAGCCGAGACAAAAGTAGTGGAGCTAGGGACACTGGCTGTCCAAGTGCAGAGCCCAGTATTCAGAGCATCCCCACGCTAGAAACAGGGTGTGGACTCATCTCTAAGGCAGGAGAGTGTAACATCTGCACCACTCACAGATTTCTCTGTTACTGGGATCCCAGCTGGAAAGCCACTTTAATCAGAAGTTAAAGTGTGAAAAACCCATCTACTTGACCAAAAAATAGTAAGTTTATCCTACCTTTGTTTTCTTTTCCCCTAGTTATATTTACATATAAGGAAAAATAATTCCTGCTCATGAGGTGATAACGTTTTTAGTAACGTCTGGAAATAACGTTGTTTGGAAAAGGATATGTTTTTCCAAAAAGCCCAAGTGAATTAGGACTCTTATTTTCTCTCTTTACTGCTAGACAGCTGCTTATTTTGTTCAGAGGCTTTTTCCTTCTGGGACTGTTTTTTTATGGAGAACTAACAACTATTGAGTTAAATTCTGATATTGCAGGGTAGCTTCCAGATATATCTATAGATCTTGTACATTCTCACTAACAAATATAATTGTTGGTACTATTAAAGCAGCCTATTTTGAAAAAGAGAATATCAGAGCAATTTCTGTTGTAATACAGCGACTAAACATGGCGAAGTACAGGTGGAGAAAAACAGCTGATTGTGAAAACTGCACAGATTTGCCAGGGGCTCTTAGAACAGTCTAAGGTTTTGTCTACATGGTGAAACTACCTGCAGAATTTCTGCAGGACGGCGCTCTCAGTACAGTTAGGCCTTTGCCAAAATCACAGGACGTTTCATGTTAGGATGTGAATGCTGCTCATTGCAACTGTGCAGGCAGCCTTTGGGCTGAAGGATGGCCTGAACGGAAACTGGGTGCCTAAAGGAGAGGAAATAACACTGCTTTATGGTGAGCATCAAATGCACCCAGTAGTTGGCAGAGTTGAACTGGATGCAAAGGCAGAGCTGGACTCCCAGAGGCTGATAAGCATGTCGTTTTTATTTCAGTCCCTAGTTCCCATGGGCTGAAGTGCTGCTTAAATATGAGCAGGAAACGCAAATATCTTTCCGATGATTTCTGTTCCCTAATTTGCCTTCCTTTTGGCCTTCTCCAGCACCAAGAGGTGGCACTGGAAGTTCTGTGAAGTGATAACTCTTATTATATCTGCATCTCCAAGTATGTCTGGGGCAAGCATGGTATTCCCCTTTTGGTCTTAAGGCCCTTTTCTAAACCAGAGCAGAAAGAAATGAGGCAGGAATGTATTCCTTTCCCTTGCTCCAGTCTTGTCCTTGGGATGCCTTGATGTAGGATAAAACCTCGCTTGGGTAGGAGGACAGTGCACGGGATTTGTTAACTATCTGCTGCTAACTTCTTAGAGCAGCTGCAGTTAGACAGCAGAACGGGGTAATGAAACTTGCTGGGGCAAACTCTCCCTAAAAGGAAACACAGAGCCCTGAAGCTGGCTGGGCCCTTGCTCAGCTTAGCATCTTGTGAGCCATCTCAGTGAACCTGGGGAGGCTGAGAAGTTGCATGAACCACTGCTGAATTGTTCGACTCCGAGGTGCTAGGCCTGAGCATAGGAGGAGGACCTCTTTTGCCCAAGCGAAAGTGATTGGCAGAGGCTCCCCTGTGCGAGCAAAGAGCCCTGGTGCATTGCCGGCGGCGATGCCTCCCTCTCCCCTCCTGCTGGGCAGGTAGGGGAATTCCCCGGCTTTGTTTGTTGGGCTGCGGCAAGGACAAGTCATTTAAAGCGATTACACAACCCACCGTTGGCACGACCAGCCCTCGTGGATGCAGAGAGAATTCAATAATTCAGCAAGCAAAATCGGAGCCAGCAGCGGATTTGGTCTCAAGCCAAGGCTCGGAAGGTTGTCCTAGCATCGCATGCTAGCTCTGCTCAACAGCTTGCATCTCCCTCCTTGGGAAAGCACTGTTTGCCAGGGCCAGGGAAAGAGAGTTCCTCAACCCGCGGGTTTGCTGCTGCCGGAACAGGAGGGAGAGGGAGAGGGCATATAACATACTGGCTCACACTGGTGTCTCATGACCTTTCCCTGTCTCATCAGCGCCAAGGGAGTCAGGAAGCTAGGTAGCCTTTGCCAAAGCATTAGAAAATACTGGCATTTGCCCTAGTCCATGCAGTGCATATCACGTTTTTTCTTTTTTAGTTCTCTTTTTCCATGCTGTTACATTTTGTTTTTTAAATAAAGTGTATTTAGTGCTGGTGAAAGGTGCTGATTTGGCAGCCTTGGAGATGGGTGTCCTTTTGCCCACCCCAGGGGAGCAATGCGCTTTCTCTGGGCCTCCTCCTCTTCCCCACTGTTGACATGGACCCTGTGTTAACGCAGCTTGCAAGTCCCTGCACTCCACCAACAGCTGCCCATTGCTGTGCTGGTTGGGACACTGGCAGCTGAGAATAAACTACCTCCTATCACAGGCTTGGATGCAGCTGACTGGAGCCAGACCTGACCTGACTGTTCTGGAGGGGTCGGCTCCATCTTACCGCTGATCTATGGCGTGAAACTTGGCTCTGAGCTGCCTCTAGCTGCAACAGGGGATGCAGCTTCTGAAATCAGGAGCCTGTCTGCTCCTTGGAAAAGCGTCAGATCTGCATCTCGGGTCAGCAGTCATTTAATGTGCAATCCAGACCTGACCCCAAGTGCTTCAGTGCAGAGTGATTGTCTCTTCCTTCCCACTTGCTTCTACCCCACTCACTAAAGTGCAAACGAGCAAGACTGAATTAACACAGGTGCTGCAGCCCGGCTGACATACAAGGTGCCAGAGAGACAAATCAGGTATCAAGCCCTTGACTTGCCCAGGCCAATCCTGAGCTTTCAGGTTATGCTTTCAGATAACGCCACAGAGCTGTCTGGCGCATCCAGCCACCACTGGGCTGGAGGGAGAGCCCCTCACTAACTCCTCTATAAGCACCCGCCCGCCCCCCCCCTCCCCCACCCACAGGAAGCTGTGCCAGCCTACCCTGGGGCTCTGCCAGACGGCCGAGAAGGGCGAAGCAGCCCTTCATCTCCCCATCCTTGTTAAAGCTAAATGCAGCACCAAAATAGTTACAAAAATAGAGTTTTGGGTCCATTGGCCCAGCTATTAATATTACTGCTATGAAATGTCTGAAAATAACAGCCATTCTCTCTGTACACTGGCTGCCTTCCCCCCACCCCACCCCTGACTGAGAATATTGCCATTTGCCCAATCCTATCACAATGAGGAATAAATATGCCTGGATTCTCTATTTTTAAAATATAATTTATGCTTTAACTAAACTCAACCTGTACTCCCATCCCCCCATTGTAAACAAACATGGCAGAAGGGGTTGGAAAAGAGGGCTGTTTTAAAAATCCTTCGTCATTTCAAGTGGTCTGAATAGTATTTCTGACTCTTGGGACTCTAACCCTATGGGGTCATTTAAAAGGACAGAAGGTACCTGCGATTTCCGATGGAGGCCCTGATGTCCTTTTCAGTTTTCTCATTGGATGCTCTCTGATGGGGATGAGAGAGATAACACATTTGCGTTCCTCTATCCAAAAGTCACAAAGTGTTTGATCAGCAAAACCGAAACTAAAAAAAGTAAATATATAAAATAAAGAACAACCCACAGCCTCTTTCTTAAGTTTCCCCATCTATCCAGTTTTCAAAGTGCAAAATCTAGAGAAGCATAGAATTATCTTCTTGGTTTTTTTTCTTTTGTTGGTTTTTTTTTTTTTTACCCCCACGTGCTTGACTGGTATGGCCTTTCTATAGCAAAAGTCAGATAAAGCGTAATTGCAGTTGTTTCTGCACATGGAATTATGAATCATTCCAGTGACTTTAGAATCTAAGCTGTTAATAGGCTAAAAAACAGTTTCTTTGTTTTGTTTTGTCTTTGCATTATAATTAAGCATGACTATATATTAATATATTACACTGCTTGGATTGCAGCTGGAGCAATCCAAACCTTCCTATGCTGTAAAACTAACCCCCACCCTGCAATCCCCAAATCAAGAGCTTCTTTTCTCTTCCCTGTTGCAGTTATCCTCAGTTCATATGATTAAAAGTCCCTCCTCTCCCCCCCCCCCCCCTTTTTTTTTTGCCACATTCTTAAATTCATGCATTGCTGCATTGCTATTGCACGTAAATAAAGGATTGCTCTCTCTCCCTCCCACTTGCTCCCCTTCCCTCACTGGTTGTGTACATCCTCTCTGCGGACGATCTTGTAGATGATCCAGTAGAAAATGTTGAAGATGAGGAACGCCATCGGGAAGCCGATGCGTGAGATCTTGTCAATCTTTTTGGCTCGCTGGATGAAGAGCTTTCGCATCTCTTCAGGGGAGCGAGATGGTACGGGGACGGGGTTGACTGTGTTGTTGTTGTTGGCTCCCTTGACGGAAATGCCGTCCTTGGCTTGCAGGCAAGCTGGCCCCATCCCATAGGCAGTGAAGTTGAATCTGCCCTCACCAGCTTCGTCCTCCTGAAACAGATTCAGCATGGGACTCTGCTTAAAATGAGATATAGGCAATGCACCCTTGCTATAAGGCTCTCCACTGACAGCTTCCTGCTCCACAGGGAGAAGACACCTTGCTCGTGCCCCAGCCTTTGCTCTGTCAGACAAACCCTCTGCTCTTAGGAGATCAGCCTTATAGAGGGGTGCTAGCTGTGTGATGCACAGATGCAAATCAGGGGATCCAGGCACCCATGGAGAACAGCATTGACCTCCACCCTGTTGATTTCTTTGACATACTTGAATGGTTTATGATACTGCATTTATTTTTCCAAAAGCATCCCCTGTTTTGCTTCTGCCTCTCCCTCCCCTCCCGCTCCTATCATCACCTTCTTTGCTTTGCCTGTGTTGTGTTTAGCTTGCCCAGAAGGAGTGGGCTCCATGTAACTCGCATAGGTGAAGCCACAGCATGAGACTTCCTACAGAGTTACATGGATGCGCAGGCGTCAAGACCTATCCAGCAAAAGACCTCTGCAGGCAGCATGCAACCACCCTTCAGCTCACCTTGCCTGGCCTCACCTGCCCATGGTAACTCTCCTGACCCTGACAGCTCCTTTCCCATAAGCCATCTTCCTATGTAAGGAACAGAACCGCCCCTTCTGCGTGTCAATGGTAAGACACAAGTATTTGTGCTAATCCTAGTTACTGAGCAAGAGAAATCCTTTATTTGGCTCTCTAAAGGCAAATGCTATTGCTGTATTTTGGTGGAGGCCTTGCAAACTTCTCAGAGCAATTTAGCCTTATTTGACTGAACACGGGGATGTAATCACAGGAAAAAAACAGGTTTGGCCCAGATAATACAACCAGTTAGTTGTAGAGTCAGGATTAGAAAACTGAGTCTCTTAACTATAGCTTGCTCCAGGCTAATTGTAAGACCAGTGGCACTAATGAATTGTCACCAGGGCTGATCCACTCTATGTTCCTTGACGCTGACCTAATAGCACCCTCCTGCATGCCCAACCTGCCCTGTCGCCCCTTTCGCTCTTCTTTGCAGAGTGTCTTTTCTGGATGGCTCCTATATCGAGCAGGTAGCTGCATGGGATGGAGGTACTATGCTCTGGGGTTGGGGGCAGTGAAGCGAACAGGAGAGCACGCTGGCATATTGCAACAAAACAAAACAGCCCGAACAAAATCTTTTTTTTTTTTTTGGCAGGGTGGCAAGCTGGTGAGTTGTGCAGCTTACCAGCAAATCTATTTGTTTCAAGGTCCTGACTGAGACAATTTCTGAAGGCCCTTGGGTAGTTTTTCCCTGCTCTTTTTGTGTTCGCTTAGTGTATTTCTGGGCCACACCATCTGAGACTTGACAATGCTTACTGTCTTTGCCTCCCTACAATACCTCTGCAAGAGGAGAGTGAAATGGTCAGGGAAACGGAAACACCAAAAATTAGGACCTAGCTTCACAAATGAATTTAGATGCTAAACTCCCTGGATGAGACCTAACAAACTCAAAACAAGGTTACCCAGGAAATGTGTAGCCTGGATAGGAACTGGACTTGGCACACTCAAAGTCCAGGAAGATGTTTTAAGTGCAGGGTCAGCTTTTCTCAGCAGCCAGACCTGGCACCAATTCTCTGTAGTCACACTGCCTCCAGGGCCAGCCCAAGTCCTCAGCAGTGATTTCTATCCCCTTGGCCCTTCTCTATCATCTTGAAAGGCATTTCTGTAGTGATACCAGCTTGCTCTTGAGTGCAATATCTTGTACTGAAAGGACCTGAGGCACATGGCCCCTACTAGGTAGAAGCAATCAGGGACAAAAGCAAGGAAAGGTCACAGCTTCTGGGCTCACAGTCCCAGAAGTGCTGTGAAGCACCTACGTGAGGTGTTTTTAGCTTTGGCTCTATTAAGCAGGCTACACCTTCTGAACCAGAACACTCCCAGTTGATTTCTGAGATGGCTGGGTCTTGCCCTGGCCTGAAAAAATTAATGGTTGCTAATTGTCCCATCTGTTGCTTCTTTTCCCTTACATTTGTGCAACACGCTTCATCCTGAGCCCTGGCTGGGCTGGGGACAAACGTACAATTTTCTCCCATTTTGGAGATGGGACAACTGAAGCAGGGAGAGGCAATGAGCTATCTTAAACGAGGCAGGGACTCAGGCCTCCTAATACCCTGTTCCTAAGACCAAGTTGCCTCCTGGAATGATGCCATACATTGTGAACTACTGTGATGACAGGTTAGATGCAGAGAAAGACTCTTTCAATGGCTGGGTAGTGAAGTACTGCAACAGATGGTTTCTGGAAAGGATAAATCCCTGGGGACTCTCTAAAACCTATGGTAGACAAATATCTATGAGGAATATTTTAGGCAGAGCAGATCCAGCCTTAGTAGTCCCCTAATGGCTCTTCTGAGATAACCGCCAACCCAATTTTCTGTGTTTTTCCTGAACAAAGTCACTGTTTTTTGATGCTAGCTTGAGAACAGCGTCTCAGACCTGGTGCGGAAAATTTGATACTGCCTGCCTGGTTCTACGAGTTAGCTAAGGGCAATTTTTAAGTGCCTTTAGTCTTTCTGATCACAGTCACCTTTATATTACTCTCTAGTGCATCCTGTGAGGTGAGATTTTTGCTGTCCGAACCTTGGCCTACAAGCTAGTAGCTTCCAAGCTGCAAAAGATGTGTGTCTATGTAACGCGTACATGCTCGGGTTGGCATCAGTCATGGTGAATGAGCATGGAGCAAGGCTAAGGCTGTGAAGAATGCTCTTTTCTTTCCAATAGGAAATTCGCAGCTGGTCGAAGCAGCAGGTGCTTTTGAACACAGAGATGACAGAAACAAAAGAGGTGTTACTTACCTCCAGGCTAATGTAAGCTGACTTGCTAGGGGATGCCACTCTCTCCCTCACACCTCCCTGCCTGCCTCCCACCCAGCCCTCATTGTGTCTCCTGAAGAAGAGAACTTAAAGCAGAACATTTCTCTGTATGGAAATCGTTCTGATGAAAACGACCCTTCTGTTTTAGACAGCTGAGCTAGTCTAACAAAAAAGTGGCTCCCTAGACTGCTGGAATCAGGTGACTGTTAGAAGAGAAGCCACGACACATTGAGTTAGCCCTGTGTTTTGATACATGGCCCTCCTTACTATCTGATCATATGCCAAGGACTTCCCTGGATGCTAGTGGTTTGGTCCAGCTGACCATGTAGTGACGTTCTGGCCTGCTGGGACAGATTCCAGTCGTGTCCTTTCTGCCTTGTGTATTACCTTATGATGCCTTCTCTTCCTTCTGAACCTGAGCAGCTCTTTGTGCTGACGGGATACAAAGTTGACAGCAGCATACTCTAGAAGTGCGGAGAACACAAACAGCAAGCACACAGCCATCCAGATATCTATGGCCTTCACGTAGGACACCTGGAAGTGAGAGTGAGGGATTGGTATCAGATGGCTTATTCACCCAAATGCCTTTTTGCTTGCCATTTTTCATGTTATTCTCAAGCTCTCTGGAAGGAGCTGGTCAAGCCATGATATGGCTGACATCTGCTCTTGGATACCCAAATCTAGCTCATTTAGCATGAATGTGTTGCCAGGCCACTGAAACTACTCCCAGACTCTTCTGTAGCAATAATTCCACAGTTTTAAGTTTATCCAGGTCCTGTTTGTGATGGTTTGTATAGAAGGAAAACAGTAGTCCAAACTGACTACATCAGAAGCCTTTTGTAACACGGAAATTCGGTATTCTTATAAAAGTATGATGACCAAGTGAGAAAAAGCTAAAACGTAGAGTGCAAATGCATGTATGCTTGTTGCAGGTGTTTGTAAAGTGCAGAGCTTCTGCCTGCTGAGAGCTGTTGTGGATCTTCAGGAGAATGCTAGGTCTCAGGAGAAGTTTTACTGCTAGTCAGAGAAGCTCTGCTAAAATTTTTGCAGGACGGAAACTAGAATTTGTTCTGATTGCCCTTAAACTGGAATAGGGCAATGGTAGCAAAATGCCTCTTGTGTTGAGCTGGTTGTCTGGAGGATCTGTATGGTGCCTTACATGTGTGCAGTGCCTAGAAAGTCCACAATTTGCCCTGGTTGTGAAAACAAACGTGTTCTCTATACCTTGGGCAGTGATGCTCGGGAACCAGAGCTCTGCGTGGTCATAGTGAGCACTGTGGTGATCCCCAGGCCAACACGAGCAGGTGCAGCATCCATGTTGATCCAGAAGGAGATCCAGGAGAGAATGACAATGAGGAGACTGGGGATATACATCTGGATCAAGTAATAGCCCATCTGCCGCTCCAGGTGGAAACGAGCTTCTATACAGGTGAACTTGCCTGAGAATGGTGGGGGATACATGGAGGGTTACTAGTAAGTAAGATACTAATAAGACATGGTTTCAGCTTAGATGTCTGGGGGCTTTACTCATACTGCCTAGAACCAGAATCTTGTTAGACAGAGGACAAAAAAAGCAATAAGCAGCTGTTGCCCAGTTCTGAAATACTTAGGTAGGTCATCGACACAGCAAATAAAACTCTCAGCAGCTTGTCCTTTGTTACTTAAAATTCATCTGCTCCCTTGCATCAAAGACAAGAGTACGTTGGGAAAGAAGGTTGAAACCAAAATACCCTTGAACTAATGCAGATATTACTAGGGACAAGAGGGTTCCACACATTTGTGTCTATTACCTCTTTACTGGCTATATATGTGTATATTTACTGGCAACATAAGTATACACCCACACACACACCCACACACACACCCCCACACGCACACCCACCCACACATATATGTATATTTGGATATATGTTGTCCCTAGCTATCTAGGACAGGGCTCGTATCACCAGAGTGCCGTCATGTATACTAAAAGATCTCTGGCAAATGCATGGTCCTGCATTTCTGCTCTGATGACCCCAGGGGCTAAGGGTAAACAGCACTGACCTGTGTTGTAGTGCTTTGTGCAGTATCTCAAGTCTTTTTCTTCTTTGAGGATAAACTGAGGCAATGTCAGTCCATCAGCAACTTGCACTGCTCCTTTTTCTTGCCATTCAAATATGAGATCATTCATTGTGTAACCAACTGTTGATAGGAGGCAACAAATGGTATGTGAAATGCATATTAAATGCGATTTGGAAAGGGTCAGTCTTGCAGAAGAGAGCTATGCTTGGAAGCAGGGGCTTAACCTAGCAGCACAGCACTGGAGCTGTGATGGTGTGCAAAGAGCTATCTGCAATAGATCACATTTTTTCTTGAATTCTGTTCATTGGCCTGGTTGTTATTTTTTCAAACTTGACCTCTTTCTCTGAACAAAGTTATTTATTGCTTTTCACTCCTTTGGGATAAGCAGCATGTACAAGGGGGCAAATGTTCATGCAGAGAGAGAAAGTCCTATTTGCAACTAAAAGAACTTTCACCTTTCTCCTTCAAAGCAAAAGGCCAGTGTAAATACAAGCAAGCCAGGGTTCCTCTCATGGGATCTACTGAGGTTTGGCTTCTCTAGGAAATGTCACATGTACTGAATGGATGGAAAACCTTAGTAAATGCTTCTGGGATGGGATGGAGAACAAAGAACCCCTTGGAGGAGGGGCTCTGATGACACTCACTTGAGGTAGCTTGAAGGTTGTGTTCTTGCTTTGGTGGCTTCTGAACTTAATTTACCCTCATCCTTTCCAAGAGTTTTCTTTCTCCAATAGGAAACCTTATTGCCCCCATTGGCCTCTGATGTAGATGCAGATGATAGTGGGGGAATTGTGGAGGAGATGCTAGCAAGGAAGAATGGGAGATGAAAGGCTATGAGAGAGCAGCCCCAGGCGCGCACAATAGAGCAAGTCTCTCCTGGCTGTTCATCCACCTTTCTTTTCTGTAATAGGACAGTCCAGAGAAGGCTGAACCAGGGTGGGTTTCCATCTAGGGAGGGAAATGCCAGGGGAGAGAGACAGGGGAAATACACTATCTCCTTTCCAAAAGAGAGACATGCACAGGACTCACAGCTTTCTAACTGCATAATACATGTCTGTACATCCATGGGGAAGTTCTTCAAATCCATAGGGCAGGCCAGAGTCAGCGTGATCCTGAGGAGAGAAGACAGCACAGGGCAATGTCAAACATTTTTGGATACTGGTGAGGAGGCAAACCCTCTCAGAAAACCAGTACCTCGCCATGGCACACCAGTCTGCTGGGAAATGACTGATTATTCACCTCTTTGCTGCCTGCACTTTCACATACAGTGCTGAAAAGCATCAAAAATGCCAAGCACAATAAAATTCCCAGTAGAGTTGCCTGTTGCAGGTTGTGTTTCATTGCAATGTTATTTTGGACTGGGTAGAACAGAGAACTCCAACACCAAGCAGTTTTGCTGCTTCTATCTTCTTCTCTTGCCACAGGCAATGGTCTGGATTAGTGGCAAGCCCAAACTCATCTCAAGGACACCTCAGATACATTTCTAGAGTCTGCGGCTGTTTAGAAATCTTTGAACAGATCATTTCTGTGTCAAAAACAAAAAAAAGTTTGGTCAAAATCACAAGTTTCCGGGGGAGGAGGGGAGACTTGCCAAGCATGCTGAGCTTGGTTAGACCCCTGTGACAAAGTCCACCTTCTTGTGACAGCCTTGACTACAGTTTGACTATTGCAAATGCTAGTGGTAAAGAGTTAGTTAGAAAATGGCAGGGTACTTTAGATGAAAACTTTTTTTAAAAGTAAAAGATTATGTCTCTTTTTGGAAACTCTTTGCATTTATATTCTGCTCTTCCATCCTCTTCTTTCCTATGTCTCCTCTTTTTTCTTTTTGGTTGCCATAGGAAACTGTACTTAAAAAGAAACCAAAAATTTAATTTGGAGAGGACAGAGGTAAGAAGGTTCTTTTCTGTAAACAGCAAAAGTTTTTGTTTGAAAACAGCAATCAGCTCAACTACATTTCTCTGTGTCCCCTGTCATTCTACTGTTTTGCAGAGCAACTCCAGGGCTAGCATGACCCATTATTTCCCCTCTGTGCTTCTGAAAACCCACCTGGAATAGGACTGCATGCCAGGCTAACCACCAGCTCACTGGAAAGACATACTTGGTAGCAGTTTTATTATCTGTTCATTGTTAGAGATGAAAAAGTGTGAGGTTTCCACATACAGCCCACAGGCCTGGCAATTCTTTTACTACTTTGTCTATCAGGGAGCAGGTCTTTGGACTGAAACTGTGCCAATGTTTGATGGGTTGCAGCAGTGGGCTGCTTTTTTTTTCCATTTTACAGCTCTGTGCTGCTTTTTCTTCCCCATGTCTGCCACTTGAAATTGTAGTGGGAGGCGGGATGCACATACTTTAGGTGAATTTACAATATACATGTGGTGAAAAAGTCTTCAGAATATAGTTTAACTTTCTTTCCCCCTTTAAGCTCATGAGGTATGTTCTTTAATTTCATTGCTTCAAAATAAAGGGTCGATGGGATTGGAAGTGAACTCAAGGTAGGGGATTGGATATTTTTCTTGTGGGAAATTTAGTGCCATTAGTTTAGCTTCACTGATGAATTCTCAGATCTCTTGAGAAATGGATAAGTGGCATGAATTATAGACTCCACAGAGCTCTCTTTAGCCATTCCCTACATTTTGTGTTAGGAAATGCAGCAGCTTTCAAACCACAGGTTTTCTTGGGCTTCTAACAGTTTTGATGCAGTACAGCTGGTTAAACCTTTCAGGCTTGTGTTAGTATACTTTCTCCATTCCTTGTACATTAGGGATCTTAAGGAATCTACTAGTGATGAGCAGAAGTCCTTAGACTGAGAAAGGTCCAGATGAGCTAAGTTCCTTCCCAGATCACCTCTCTATCTCAAAATGCTTTGGCTAATGCTGTCTTTTCTCTCTGTTATAGAAGTAGCAGTAAGTGGTGATCATCTGGTCAAAGTACCTTCATTCCAGCAAGTACCAGAAGTACCTTCTGTTCCAACATGGACTCAGTTACTGAGGTAAGGAGGCACTTCCCATAGTCTTTTTTCACAGTTGTTTTTTTCCCTCCCTTCTCCAAATAAAACTGGCTTTCTGAAAATAAAAATTCTCAGAGACAGCTGCGTCTTTGCAGGTCTTGAGAGCAGAGCAATCTGGGGATGTGGAAGTAACCTAGCAATACAGTGCCCTTTGCTACCACAAAGGAAACCCAGTTCATGGCATATGGTCTCTATTCTTTTCAAAAGCAGCATCCTCCTCAGGGATCCGGAGGGAGGCATGAGGCACAGAAAAATTTATCCCTATCTGAAGCTGTTATTGGTTGGTGTGGGGAAGAAGTTGAATGTGTGTGGTAGAGTACTGCCAGGCTGCCCAATCCTTTTGGATTGGTGCCTTTTTATTTAATCATGAAGAAAACCAATGGTGTTTCTAGGGAGGAATAACCCCATGCACCAGTACAGATTGGGGGTTGACCTGATGGAAAGCAGCTCTCCAGAGAAGGACCTGCGAGTCCTGGTGGACAACCAGTTAAGCAGGAGCCAGCAGTGTGCCCCTGTGGCCAAGAAGACCAAGGGTACCCTGGGGTGCATTAGGCAGAGTGTTGCCAGCAGGTCGAGGGAGGTGATCCTGCCCCTCTACTCAGCCCTGCTGAGGCCACATTTGGAGTACTGTGTCCACTTCTGGGCTCCCCAGGACAAGAGAGACAAGGCACTAGTGGAGAGAGTCCAGCGGAGGGCTACAAAGATGATGAGGGGACTGGAGCACCTCTTCTAGGAAGAAAGGCTGCAAGAGCTGGGCCTGTTTAGCCTGGAGAAGAGAAGACTGAGAGGCGATCTCATCAACGTGTACAAGTATCTGAAGGGAGAGGGTCGAGAAGATGAGGCCAGCCTCTTCTCCGTGGTGCCCAGCGACAGGACAAGAGGCAACGGGCACAAACTGAACCACAGGCAGTTCCATCTGAACCTGAGGAAAAACTTCTCTACTGTGAGGGTGACAGAGCACTGGCACAGGTTGCCCAGAGAGGTAGTGGGGTCTCCTTCGCTGGAGATATTCAAAACCTGCCTGGATGCGATCCTGGGCAACGTGCTCTAGATGGCCCTGCTTGAGCAGGGTTGGGTTGCACTAGATGATCTCCAGAGGTCCCTTCCAACCTTGGCCATTCTGTGATTCTGTGATTCTTATGCTTTCTTTTAAACAGAAGCTACTAATGCAATTGAGACTTGAAGCTCAGGCAGCTGATGGCACTTTCCCAGAAAGGTTCCACCCTTTCGCCAACCTCCTCTGTTTGGGGTGGCTGTAGAGAAACCTCTTCCTTTACATCACATTATTGTGCTCCCACAAAGACTTGTTTAGATATGCAAATGGGGACCAGTACACCCCACTGCTCCTAAGCACAGGTTAATGCAGGATATAAAGGTCCAGATGAGAAGCTGATTAATGAGCTTTCCTTTCTTTTTCCTTTTGTAGACATAATTAATTAAAAATTTTGAAACAACGTTGACTAAGAAAATGAGAATCTATTTTGATTCTCATTGATTCTTCTGTGAAGGAATCTGCCCCAGGAGAATGATGCAACACTGGCACAAGCCACAAAGGTTATGGGGTATCCATCCATGGGAGGGCTTCAAGACTTGGCCAGACAAAGCTGCAGCCAACCTGATCTAGTGTTGACAGTAGTCATGTTCTGAGCAAGAGGTTAGATGGGAGACTTCCAAAGGTCCCTTCCCACCACATTGCTATGATTCTGAATTGGATGCCCTCCCACTTAAAAAATTCTCGATTCCTTTTATCCAAAGGTAAGCTCAACGCGTCCAGTTTCTCACCTTAGGCTTGAACAGTGGATATTTAGCTCTGCCCTCCCCCACCTCAGTGGGGCTCTCCCCATTCAGTCACCTCACCTGATGCTGTAGAGGACATTGCCATTTCTGGAGATCCTCAGGAGCTTGTTGTCTGTGGTGATCTCATGGAAATGGGCCCCTTTCTCATTAGCAAAGAACAAATCAGGCTTCCAGATGGAGTCCAACATGGAGGGATCCAGATCCAGGGAATCGTCTGGATATTCATTGTACGCCAGCCGCGGGTCGTTCCATTGTTGTCTCAAAAAGATATTCACCCTGTAATCCTGCATGGTGTGAGGGAAGAGGGGAGAAATGACATTAGAGAGTGCTCAGAGCAGGCCGAAAGTGTTGAGAACTGGAGGGTGTGTGCTGAAATGGCTCTCAAAAGTGAACCAGGTCTAGGCTTATCCTCCCAATCTATGGCAAACCTTCTCAGCACTATTTCTCAAGGAGCTGTTGTTATTTTTAGCTCTGTAGCTTAGAGCTATCTCATAGGGTGAGCAGCTACCTATCCTTACATCTGTCCATCGTAGCAATCATCAGCTCGATGTGAAGTGCCAAGACCTCAGGTCCAAACCTTGAGGCTGGAGAAGCACTGTTCAGTTGCACAGGTCAAAGAGGGCTGGTATCTGCAAGTCGACTGTTGCAGAGGGTTAAGGAGAAAAAGGCACCAAAGTCAACTTCCCCATACGGTGACTATGGGTCCTTTTGGGACTTGTAAAAGAAGGCTTGATGAGACAGGCAGCCCATGGAAGGGAGATGCCCTGCATGTACACTAATATATAGTGTAACTCAGCTGAACTGACAGGAGCAGCCCCTGATGAGAGTATGTGAACATAGCAGGGATGTGCCTGGAGTGTCTTCTCCTGCTCCTAAGCTAGTGTTCTTAGTTCCTCTCTCTACCATCAAAATGCCATAATAGCACTACAGATTTTATAGGCTGGCCATCTTCTTTAATTGAAGCTAGTCCCCTAGCACTACAGAAATTATAACCTACAGAAATTATATAACCTTGTGTCTTACAGCTCTCCTGAGCTCCCCAGGCCAAGGCTGGCTGAGGCCTAGCTCAGACATCCCAGCTGCTCCCCTGGAGAACTAAAAACAGTTTCTGTTCTCCCTGCCT